TAAGTGTATCGCAAAGTTATATTCAGAAAGAATAAACCAGTTTTATTTAAAAAAGAACTTGTGTCGCTAAAGTTTCGTCGGAACGAATTTACGGAAAATTAACTAACGAACGGAGGCGTAACAATACCAAAAAAAAAAAAAGCGCTCAACGATAGAACATGCTGCAATGGTAGGAAACGAATAGAATTACAAAAAAATTAACAACATTGTAATTGGAATTTCACATACAGCGAGAAGACAAGCAAACTACATGTTTTTTGTTGTTTTTTTATTTTTACAGTTCGATCTACAGCCGTCGATAGTAGGGATAGTATTCGTATCAGCAGCCTTTACTTACGCTTGTAGCGCCCCCATATGGGGCTGGTTCTGTGACAAATTGGTGAGTTTATTTAGAAATAACTTTAACTCTATGATTGTTCATATCTTCGATAATCTTTTGATATTTACTTATCATATCATCTGCAGTTTACACTAAATCATACAATTCGTTTACCTAATATGTTTGCTATTAAAAAGTTGTGTCTACACAGCATTAGTCATATTTTGTAAGAACAAATTAGGTACGCTAATACAGCGTCGCTGGAGCATATGCACGTATTAACTATTCATATATTTTCAGCCTAATATCCGTGTTACGTATCCCGTGGCGACACTTGCTTGTATCTTGTGTTTTTTACTTATTTCCCCGGCACCTTTTTTTCACTTTGAACCGTAAGTATTTTTGTGCACTTTTCAAACTACTAGAATTAAATAATGCACTGTTTGTAATAATTTTATTGTATTATAAGTTACGCGCTACTTCAATGCTTTTTACATAGATTTTTTTTTATTTTTTCAGACAACTTTGGATAATTATTCTGTCCTTGTTTTTGCTGGGTTTGGGGGCAGAAGGTCAAACTATTTGTGCTTTTAACAACGCTCTGGTAGAAACCGTGTAAGTTAACCCTTAAATTTAATCACAAGGAAAAAACTACGACTATTTTAAGCCATGACGATAAAATAAAAAAAATATTTTAAATAATTTTACTTTTTGCTCTAAAAATATTGTCTTTTGGAAGAACTTGGTCTAACGTTAACCTTTTAACACTTGTTCCATATTTTTTATTTTTAAAAGTTTATTACTTGCTTCCATCATTTTAGGACTAACAGCCTTCATTTATAACTTGTGTTGTTACACAGATCAAGAGGATATCCTGCTAATGTGACAACGTTTTCTATGGTGTCTGCTGCGTTCAATTCTATGTGTGCATTAGGGTAAAGTTTTAGCTATATATTTTTAGTTATAATCTTACAAATAATTAAATAGAACAAAACAGCATATGGTAAAAATTAAACCAAATTATTAAAACAAAATCGACTGAAGTGAGTAGATAATAATATTTAAAAATATATTTTTTTGTGTGTGTGAACTTTATTTATAGCTAAATTAAGTTGCAAAGCGAAATCTTGATTGTCCAATTATAGAAAAATAACAGATTTTGTTGTTTTAATGTCGTTTATTTTTAGTATTAAAATGTCTTTTTATACACCCATGTGCACAACAGAAATTATATAATGATTGTGTAGGTTTATGTCTTTTTTTTTTTTTGTCAGATGAGTTTCATTTGATATTTTATCTGTTTTCAGCCTTTCTCTTTGTTACTTTACCTGTTTGTTCTCTCACACCTTTAATTATTGTATAAAGACTAATTTAAATGTTCAAATTATTGTCCTTTAACCGATCGTCATACATTTTGATATTGTAAGCCTATTTCAGGGTCACGGAATCTGCTGAGTGTATAAAGAATGGACCTCTACTGGCTGTGATTTGTGACTGTAGATTTATTGTTTGGTGAGGTACTCCTCTAAGAAAACAGAACAGGTACCATATAGAAGTTTGGGAATCTCTTTATTTGCAGGATCGAAGAAAATGATGTCATCTCCTTTGCAATGCCTTAGAAAGGTCAACTAGATATCGCATCATGCTCAGATATAATAACATATATCATAAAGATATTACCTCTTCCGATCCCTCATACAATATTTATTTAGTAAGATTAGTAAATAATAGTGCTTATATTGATGTTAAATTAGGGCTTGGTGATGTACGACAAACATTATATTAGGCATAGCGAATGTAACGCAATTTCATTTGCGATTTAATTTATTGGCAACTTATAAAACAGGCTTACTATATTACTATATAAATATCATCTTAAGATTGGTTATTTTTTTATTTCTTATTTAAAATGTATACTTAATTATTTTAGTAGGAAAATTAGGTAGTGATAAAATAAGTAATATATTTAATTAAAGTTAGGCTTAACAATGTTGCGAATAGATCACTTGTATTTAGTGTTTGTCGTATTTTCCGGCTACAGTGGTTAAGACTATTACAGTAATGTAGGTATGAAGCGGTCACAGTTTGTAAGGTGCGATAGGTGCAAGGAGTGGATTATATTCGGAACACGCGGGGCTGGTATGCACTTTTAAATAAGCTAGTAGTTAGGATGAGTAATTTGTTTGTGGAGTTTGCAGGTTGGAGGAGAAATTCGAGGCTATCTTAATTAGAGTAGATGCAATATATATAAAGGTCAGCTGTGGGAAATAACAGCAGAATTCCGAGAACTTAAGCTTTTGCATGAAAAGAATTCAATAACTAATAATGACTTTCAGGAAGATAGAAAAAATACAATCATGGCTAAAAATAGTGGAGTTAATTATAATGAGCAAGTTCTACTTATTAACAGATTTCAGCCTTTAGCGTGCGCAAATGCGGAACTTTGGGAGGGAAGAAAAACATAGAAATGTGAAGTGAAAAACAGTAGACGGTTAAAGCTAAAGGTGATTCTTTATCACAGCATGTGGACAGAATAGTAAAGAAAAAAGAATTGTATTATGATATTCAGGGGCAGGGGTGCAGGGCATAAGTAGAGCAAGTGATTTAGTAAATAGTGCTAGCCATTGTGGAGTTTTTGTAGTGCCCATCTTACTGTAATGGAGTAACGGCGTGGTCGTCTATATATCTATCTGACCCAAATGATAAATACGATGGCGCTATCTGTTGTGCTGAAATACGAGAAGAACTAATGCCAGAAGTGATGATTAAGGCTTATGAAATATGGCGCCATCTATTAAATGGTATCACAAACAAAAATCCATTAAAAAAATTAAAGATTCAGACAATTAGAAAAAGAACTTTGGTATGTGCAACAACCATTTCTTTATAACAGAACACAATTTTAAATAAAAGTAACCGCTTCACAACAACAAAAACACGATTTTCACTAGGGCTGTATGCGAGGGTTTGATTATATATCTTTATTGATGTAATTTGTAAATGTAATGCTAAAACACTGGAATTCTTAAAAACTTATTTTTTCAATAAAGGGTAGCACTCGTAATATATAAAAACATTACAGTTTATATCAGTAAAATTTATGAAAATTTTGAGTTTTGTAAGTTGAATAATTTTAGTGCTGCGAGTTGCGTATGACTAAAGAGCAAAACCCAAACATTTTTCCAGTGCAGTACTTACCCGAAAAAAATAAATTTAGAAGCTTTGCGCAAAATTAAAAAAAAAAAAACAACTAATTACTAACACAAACAGCCACCTGTATCTCGGCATTTCTGCTACAGTGCTAGTAGAGGCTAATCGTGGAGGGAAGGGTAGGTCAGAGGAGCCAGTTTACACGCACATAGGTTTGACAAAGGCATTTAAAGAACATGACATTACTACTTATGACATTATGTAGATGAGGGTACAGTGAGGATTTGGTGTATCTGGATTTTCAGAAACATTTGAAAAGGTGTCACCTAAAAGGCTTGTTAAAAAAAATAATATCTGTAGGTGTGAGGAATAGGTTGGCTCATTGGATAGAAAACTGGATGGATGGAAGAAAGCAGAGGAATGTTATAAATAGAGCTTGGAGCTCAGTCAAACTGGATTAATGTCACAAGTGGGGAACCTCAGGGCTCGGCATTGGGACCTTTGCTCTTTCTGATTTACATCAATGACTTAGATGAACAATGATTCACTATTTAAAGTTGCTGATGATATTAAGATTTTGGGTGTTGCTGGCTGTGAGGAGGATGCTACTACTTTACCAAAGGATTTGAATTATTTGGTGAGTTGAGCAAATAAATATCAGATGGCTTTTAATTATAATAAATGCAAGGAATTGAATGTGGGTTATCAAGAAAAGGATCTTGGTGTAATAGTTGATCGGTCAAACAGTGTGTTTTTGCTATTGGTAAACAGGATTTTAGGTAGACAATGAAGACAAGTCATTCAATTGTTGAAAATGGTTCAGAAGAGGGCTATTAGAATGATACCTGGGGTGAAAAGGTTGATATATTTTATTTTTTTGAAGTTAAGCACAAAGCAATGAGCTATCTGGGCTCTGCCCACCACGGGTATTGAACTCCGGTTCTGGCGTTGTAAGTCCGCAGATGTACCGCTGTGCTACTGGGGAGCAGGTTAAGATCTCTTAAACAGTTTTCTCTTGAAAAAAAGTTAGGGATATGATTGTTAAGGAAATGAATACTGTTAATGCATCATCCATTTTCATATACAATGGTGAAAATTTTAAGATTAAGGAACACACATATATTTGACAGCGTAGGAATCATCTTCAATTAAGAAAGCTTTATTTTTCTAACCTTGGAACAGGTTTCCATCAGATGCTGAGGATGCAGCTAATTAATTAAGGTCAGGAGTGATAATTATTTGAATAAGAGCTGATTTTATTTGGATTTTAAAGTTCAGTTTAGTGGATTGGATGGCCTAAATGGACGAACAGGTCCCTTATTGTCCATATATTATATATGGGTATGTAGTATAATCAAAGAAAGCTACCCACAAGGATAAGATTGAAATATATGCTATTATTATTATGAACAAATGTAGCAATGAAGGTCTATGACTGACCACAGCCTCTTCTACTTTCTTATGTAATATTCACATTGATTTCTTAGAAATCTGTACTAAGTATGATTCCAATGGGATGAATGTTTTATATTCACTACTGTTACTGTTAGTATTTGTTTTAACATTTTTAAGTTCATGTATTTTTGAAATTCAAACTGATTAGTTACATCTTATATTCTTTAATTACTTCTTATTAAAAAAACTGTGATCTTTAACTGCCATAAGTCTAAAACATATTTTCTACTTAGCTAAAACAAATAGTCGAGTTTATGATTAAAGGGAAGTACATTGTGTATTGTGGTAGCTTTATATACTTACGTTAGAAGTTCAACTCAAGTACATATTATATGGTATATATAATTAGCTTGTTAAATTTCTTCTAAGGATTACTTCAAGCCATTTATTTTACAAATCAGCCTGCTATCAGAATCAATAAGGTTTACTTCAGGCCACTTGTTTTATAAAGCAGCCTCCTATTAGAATCTATAATGTATATTTCAAATAACTTTTTTTCCCAAAGCAGCCTGTCATCAGAACCTATAATATTTATTACAGGTACAGTTTGTATATGATTTACTTACAGCTTATGGAACTTAAAATCCTTGGAAATTGTTAAAATTCTTCATAGATTTGTTTTTACAATAAAGAAGCCAGTGAATAGCTTAATCCTGAATAGTGCATTGAAATCATGTTACATTTGACCCCTGATTTTCATGATGAACTGACAGGTGTGATCGACATTGTTTATATAAATGATTTTTGTTTGCCTTATCATAACTGTAAATATCTATAGACTTACAAATTTCAAGTATATCTTAACTATTTTGTGCAGAATATGGAAGTACTTTCGTATACAAAACTATGAGATCCGATCATTTAATTCTTTCTATAATATTATAAAGTTCTGTATACATTACAACATCCTAATTAATATTTTACAGGAGTTTCTTGGGAGCTATAGCAGGTGGTTTACTTACAGACTACGTTGGATATATCAGTGGGACAGTTTTCATGGTAGTAGTGGAGACTTTTCTTGTAAGTATAAACTAAATGTAACAACAATGTCATGATACTTTCTTAATTATTGAATCTCTGTAAACATATTAATAATGGCTTATAAGAACAGAACATGAGTGCAGTGATTAGATGTTTTGTAAATGTAAGATAACTTTTTTAAAGAGAAATATTGATTAATCAAGATCTTCCAACTACTGAACTTACATAACCTCATTCATAGCAAGGATATTACACATATAGATAATATGTGATTGGTTTAGAGCAATAATTCTATTAATAAAAGTAAAAAAAAAAAATTAAGATGTGCAATTTGTATGAAGAGTTTGTAGGTTGGAGGTGAAGTTAGAGGCTATTATAATTAAAGTAGAGACAATAGATAAAGAGAAGTGTAGACTGTGGGAAATGGCAGCAGGATTTCAAAAGGAATACATCAGCTAAAAATGACTTTCAGGAAGTTATAAAGAGTACTGTTGGGGATAAAAGTAGTGAATTTAGTTATAATGAACCTATTATGTTGAGTAATAAATTTCAGCCCTTGGCTTTTGCAGATGAGGAACTATTGGAGTGAAAAACAAAATGGTCGGAGAAGGATTTGGATGATAAGGAGGTTATAGTTATAGGTGATTCTTTGACAAGGCATGTGGATAGGATAGTCTATGGGGTAAATAAGGAGAATAGAATCAGATTATGTTACACAGGTGGAGGATATAATAAATAGGGCAGCAGAGATGCAGTTTTTGTGGTACATATAGGGAGAGGAGCTAATTAATATGTACAAGGGTTTGATAAAGGCATTTAAAGAAAAAGGCCATAACTTAATTTTGTCAAGGATACTGCCCAGAATTAACTGTGGGGATGAAAGTATAAGTAGGTCACTAGGGCTACATGCTAGACCTTGGTTAGTATGTAAAGATTGGCTGGTTGGACTTGTGGGATCAGTTCAGTGGAAGAAGGGAGCTTTTTGGAATGGATGGTTTACATTTAAATAGGTTAGGGGCTGGCTTGTTTGCTAAGGTTATTAACTCAAATGTAAGGGAAGTTTTAAACTTGGACTAGACAGTGTTGAGGGCCAAAAAAACGAAATGCAAAAAATAAGAGGCAAAGAAAAGTTTAGCAGAGGAATTGAGTATAGAAGTAGTGTAGTTATAATGATAGGCTTAATTGTTACTACTGTAATGCTAGAAGTATAAGAAATAAAATAGATGACTTTAGAGCATTGGTAGAAATGGAGGATTTTGATATGATGGGAATAACTGAAACATGGTTAACTTCAAATACTGAAATGATTGAGAAGGTGGAAATTAGGGAACATCTGGGTGCAAGTGATCATTGCTTTATTAGGTTCAATGTTTTGCTGCATATGGAGATAACGAATAATGATATTTTGGTTAGAACTTTCAAAAAAGCAAATTTTGAAGGGATGCGACAAGAGTTATCTGTTGTGAATTGGGTAGCTGAATTATTTGGAGACACTGATCAGATGTAGAAAATTTTTAAAGATAAATTTTTAAATATTCAATGTAAACATAAAGAAAAGGGTAACTGCAAGTAAAAAAACAGGTTGGCTCACAAAGAGTTTAAGAAATAAAATTAAAGAAAAGCATAATACATTTAAAAAATTAAATTGACCAGTATGACAGGAGACTTAGATTATAGAAGATCAAGAAAATTGGTGAAACAGGAAATTAG